TTCCGGTGAAGAAAGTTCTACGTTTTGGAAATGAAGAGTTCAACCTGAATCAGCGTTGTATTAAAGCGAAGCCTGCAAGACTGGTCGCTTATCAGAACTGCAAACACTGCGACGAGCTTCAGCAGCCGAAAGCACTGTTCAACCGCAGGAAGAAAGCTGTCGTAGAAGATGATGAATGGACTACCGCTCGGTATAGAAAGAACCAGGAGGAAGACAAGGATATTGGGCCGCTCCTCAGATGGAAAGAAGATGGGATGGAACGACCTGGCTGGTCGGAAATATCAGGCGAGTCACTTTCTTTCAAGGCGTTATGGGCTCAATGGGACTCCTTGCGAGTCGAGAACGGATTGCTTAAGCGAGCTTGGGAAAGTCCGGATGGAAAACATGTCACTATGCAGGTGGTGGTCCCGGCCACCAGAATCCAGGAAGTACTTCGAGAGATGCACAATGGGAGTTCTGGTGCTCATTTTGGAATCAACAAGACGCTTTCCAATTTTAGGGAGAGATTCTACTGGGCCCGTTGCCGGCAAGACGTCGAAAGCTCGTGGACGAAGTGTAGGACCTGTGCGGCAGTTCAAGGATCGAAGATTAGGGCGAGACGGCCGATCCAAGTACACAACGTCGGCTCGCCTATTGGAAGAACTGCAAGAGAAGTAGCGGGTCCCTCCCAGTGCCCGAAGAAAGGAACAAGGACATGAAGAAGGTCAAAGGTTACGACGATGGCCTACAGGAGAAGCTGCCGAGCGTTTACGAAATACTGCACTACCAGGACAGAGTGGCGACTGGTAGAATGAAGACACGTTACGACCTTCTGAACAACTCAGTAGGGTTCCAGGCGAGAGATTTGGTATGGCTTTATAACCTCCGAAGACGGAATGGTCGTTGCCCGAAGTTGTCATCAGACTGGGAAGGTCCCTATACTGTCGTGACGAGGATCAACGATGTCGTCTATAGAATCCGGCGAGGGCCGAAGAGGAAAATGAAGATTGTTCACTTAGGCCGCCTCATAAAATACAACAGCAGCGCCATTGACGTTTCTGATCGGGACGATCAGAATTAAGGAAAGGGCAGTGTTACGAAATAAACACATAACCTCCCCGGTGCGACGCGGCGCCTATGAGTTTTTCTAGTATGTGTGTCGATGAACGGTGACTCATCGACGGCCGAGCGGCAGACGCCTAAAGACAAGTCTGGAGCCGGTTACCGGAAGTCTTGAAGCGGCGTCTAGGGAAGTCTCAAAGCGGAGTCGCCATGGATGTTCGTGAAAGATCTCGATCGGAGAAGTATGGGTTTAAATAGAGGCGACCGTCGGGAATATATTCGATGCAATAGTTAGTAGTGTAATTCGAGTTAAAGAAATAAATCGTTGAGTTTTACCTACGCCCGATTAATTATTCTCCCGTCAAACGTAACAGTAGGGAATCACAAAATCGAGGTATATTTCGAGGTCTGATTGATTTTATGGCTGAATTGGACTTTATCAGATCATTTGAAAGAAGCAACGATTTTTAAAGGAACGCCTAAAACTGTCCAAAATGAACTTTTAGATGCCATGAACGTAAAATTTTGACCGAAGGCAAAAAGGTATGGGGAGAAATCCTTTTTTATTTTTATTGAATGTATTTTTGTATTTCTTTTCGGCACACTATTTCTTCTATTAATTGGTAATAACAACCTGTTTTATATCTTCATATTTAAGTCATCAATCAAATTGTGTCCCCCCATTTCAAAAGGTCACGAGCCGCCACTGCCTTTTCGTACCTGCTTTTGCTCTTTTCCAAGAGCAGATTCTGAGTAACTTCATTTGCTGCATACTTTAATTCAGGGGACGTTAAAGATTCTGAATCGGACATTTTCTAATAGATGGATATTACTTGGTCGGAGTTTTTCACCTTCAAAACGCCAATCTAATTTTATTCAGAGGCGTTCAGAGGTAACTTGATTGTTATACATAGCCTACTTGTACTTATGAAAAACATTGTGACGTATGACGTATAATTTTTTTAAAGATTTTCCCAAAATTTTTATTCAGATGATTGAGAATAATAAAGTTATTACCCAGCGGGCAAAACGCCCATAGAGGACATAGTACAAATTAAATATAATTAATAATAATAATAATACTAACACATTAATTTCGGAGGCTTCCACGGCCGGAATCAATACATGATCGAATTTTATGCAGTTTCTCTGTTGTCGATAAGGCTTTAATGTATCCATCAGTGACCATTTGTACTTTTTCTTTAATTGTGTACTGCGGCAGGTTGACGAATTTCGGTCACTAAAAACCAGTAATCGAACGAGTAATTAAAATTTAGAAACGTCAGGTAAATGTCTGTTTTTACATGGGTTCCTACAATATTACCGACAAAAATATCAAAATACTTTCATGTTTTTAAAGAAATATCCTTTAATAATTTAAAACATGACTTTTAATGAAATCGACAAAAGATAACCCAAATTTCACCCAGTAAAAATTTCAACTCTGAATTTTTACTCAAACATAAGTTAACATGAGGTATAAAATTTAACATGGGAAACCCTATGGCCACTTTTAAAAAAGATGCACTGTTTATGTAGTGAATACAAAGTCAACAATTATGTAGCTTGCATAGATATTGTAGCCGTCCATAGAGTCGAAATTTGCGAATAAAAATAAAATAAAACCGGCTCAAACGGAGCCGACGACGGCTTGCAAGTTCTGTCACTACCCCATGCGTCACATCACACAGGGGTGTATTTAAGGTCGTTTGCACAAAATCTTAGGGTCACTGTAATCTTACTATTTTCTATCTACGACAAACGATTTGTCACAGAGCTACGAAACCGACGATCTAGAGAAAGATGGAAGTTTGAAAATGTATTTCAACAAGTGTAATAACCGTTTGGTGCAACACAATTGGTTCAAGCAAACTAAAATATGACAGGAAACAACAGGCGCGGATACAGGATTTCGTTTAGAGGGGGGGGGGGGCAATTTTTGTGCGATCTCCTAGAAATTTGTTCTAAACAAAAAGATATATAAAATTTTAGCTAGTATACTCTTTTTCACATAACATGGGTGACATTTAGTTGTTTTCGTTACACGTACCTTATAGTGGACAGTAGAACCTCGATAATCCGAATTAATTGGGATAAAGGTGTGTTTGGATTAACGATTTGTTCGGATCAGCGATTTTCTCAAAAATCTGAAAGGGAATTGAATTGGGAACTTCATACACAGTTGAAAACACTTCAAGAAATAAACCTTAATTTCATTAAACAAAATTAACGAATTCTTAAGTAACAATGGATAATAGATAGGTACATTGTAAAAAAATATTACTCCGTGACCAGAAACACGATATCTTTTTGGAATCAACACGCCTGGATCTATACCCTGAATTTTTTCAGAATTTTTAGATGAATTTTTCAAAAATTAAATTTTACATTATGTATTACCTCCATTATGCAAATTTCGACCCATTCTCCACGATTTTCGAAATTTAATTAAATACCTTTTTTTTGTAGATTTTGGGCCTCAGAAGTCATTTCTGGCTTCATTTCTTCGATAACTTAAACCATTTTTCCAGATTCGTCCAGTTGAAATATCGAAATTTTTAAAAATTTCGAAAAATTCTAATTTCACACCGAATTTTCCGAAAATATTGCTCGGTTACCATTAACATGCTATATTTTTGGAATCAACACGTCGGGATATCGTCGGATCTCTTCAAATTTTGTCAAAATTTTTAGAAAATTTTTTTCAAAAATTTCATTTTCCTCATGCAAATTTCGACCCATTTTCGACGATTTTCGAAATTTAACTAAATACTTTTTCTTGTAGATTTCGGGCCTCATTTCTTCGATAACTTCAACCTTTTTTCTAGAATTAGTTAATTAATTCAGTGCATTGAAATATCGCAATTTTTAAAAATTTCAAAATATTCCATACAACATATGCAGAAAGATCTTGCGTCATTTTTCCAAGTAGGTGCGTGTTTCCAAGTTCAGTTCGGATTGCAGAGTTTTTGTTCGGATTAAAGAAGCATCGACTTCAAATAGCCTCTGTTCGGATTATTGGATGTTCGGATAATCGTGAATTCGGATTATAGAGGTTGTACTGCATTTACAAAATGAAATGCGATTTCAAAATTTTGAAATTGGTCAAAATAAAGTACCTCGGTCGTGTGTCAGGGGGGGGCAATGGGTACCCCCCCTGGATCCGCGCCTGGGAAACAAACAGTCCACGTGGACTAGTTTATAGCCGTGTTTGCTGCTAAGATGGCTAGGTTTTTCGCTCCACCTACCTCCGCAACGATTAATATACCATACCAAAACTTGCGTATAGTGAACAGAGCTTCGTTTTTATTGACGAGATTGAGCTCAGAAATGAAACAGATTATATCATAATCGAAAAGATGACATTTAATATTAAATACGTCTCTGTGCAACGTGTGCCAGAGTGACGTCAGAATTTGCAAGCCACCGTCGGCTCCGTTTGAACCGGTTTTATTTAATTTTTATTCGCAAATTTCGACTCTATGGACGGCTACAATATCTATGCAAGCTACTATAGTTAGATTCCTGTTGCTGCATCTACATTTCGAAGTATTTTTTTATCGCACACTACGCTAGCGTCAATTTGTAATTTAACTTTAGTTTACTTTTAGCTTTGCCGAGATAATGCCAATGTAATTGACGAAAAACGTCGGCAAATATTTTGGGGTGTGTTTTCGGTATTGTGAGGATAAACGTTATATTACTATAGTGCACCGGGAGATCAGAAAGATTTAAAGCAAATCACAAAATAGCAACTGTTATAACATAAACTGGGTGAAAAAAATACTTGGGTGACCATGGGTTGAGATGTATTACTTACTTCTCGGAATTATTACCTACTGGTGGTATTTTAGATAATGGTAATGTTAGCTTCTTGTGCAATATTCAAAATATTTTTATGTATAATCGTGATATATATTATTTTTAATACTTATATGCTACTTTTCTCTTAATTCCAGATTGTGGAAGACTGGAAGTTCGTCTCCATGGTGTTAGACCGTTTCTTTTTGTGGGTGTTTACCTTAGCGTGTATCGGTGGAACATTCGGTATCATATTACAAGCTCCCTCATTATATGATACTCGTGTGCCTGTTCATCAACAACTCCACGAAATTCCTCTGACTAAAATATTTCAAACACCACCTTCGCATACCCACGTCCCAATACAGTAAAAACATATCCGTAACCTCGATCGTAAGTTCACAACAATTCAACGAAGTAATGCTCAACAAAAGCTGTTTACTACAAACATTCCAAGTTTTAAATTAGTAAGTAGGCTTTCACCGTAATAAAATGACTGAAAAAACATGTCGCTAAAATTAAGAAATGACAACAGAGCAGGGATTAAATGATTAAATCATCTTAAATTACCAAAATAAATAAAACAGGGTATCATATCTTAAACTCATCATTATTAATGTAATACTAACGATAAGATATCGTTAGGTCAAGCACAAAGAACACTATCAGTAAAAAAGAAACAATTGAGCAGATCTCACCGTTGCATTAAGCTTGTTGTAATTTGTCAATTCTCTTTCAATTACTCTTTGGGACCATAGCACTCTCTTCAAGACTACTGATGTACCTTATTCTTGAGATTGTGATCCTTTTACCCAAGTGTTGCTTGTTTATGCACAAATAGGCGTTAGACACACATTGTAAAAATTTTTATATTTAAAAAATGTGTATCTTTATTATAACATCACACATGAATAGTTGTGCTTACATCACCGTAAGAATATTTATGCTCAGTACTAATTAATCTAACGTAAATAAATAATTTAATATTCATGTTATACATATTAGTACTTAGTTAATATAAGCCTATAAAATATTTACACACAAATTAATTTGTACAACTGATTCCTCTAACACTACCCTTCACTGCTATTGCTGTTGCACAAATGTGATTAAATAGGCTGTTACGATTAGGATTTGTAGCGCGAAATCGTTATATATTATTGTTTGTATAATTATTGTTATAAATATTTTTAATCCTGAATAAAATTATGAAAATATTGAATGTGGTTCATTTAACGTTTTTATTAATATGCATTGATCACCCATATTGATCCGCATTGAATTCAAGAATCACACATAGCAAAAGTCGTCATTCTAAAGAATTCAGTTGTCATACTATATATATTGTTGCCATATTATTATCATAATGTTTATAATGAGAATAAAAATGACAAAATCTATTCACTTTGCAGCAGCTACAGTTTCTAAATTTGCTATTAGTTGGCGCTAGTAACTATTGCAATGAGCGCACATGCACTACACACGTGTACGTATATATATCGGATATCTATAAAATGCCGGATTAACTTCCCAGTAGGGTATAAACGAGGATTTCCGATGTCCAAAACAAATTTTGAACAGCTATTTATGTTACAAGTAAATAATGCATAGCTTTATTGGACGCGCCCTTTTATGGTCGAGCGAGCCTGCTCGCGAGGCTAATAAAAAGGCAAGTCCAATAAAACGCATTATTTTTACGTGTGACATACATAGCTTTATGTTTGACTAAGCAGAAGAATTTCTTCTTTTGCAACTCTTTCTCCATTTTAAAATTGTTAATAATTTTTAGTAGGCACTGCCATTGTCACAGTCAAACACAGTGGTAGATTATGGACAGTTGCAAGTGTCATAAATAACATCGTTATCATTGAGTCTACCATAATAGTTATTTATGTACCAAGGGCACAAAGAAGATGTTTATATTCGAAGGCAACGTTTACAAAATCGAGGGCCTCTGGTCCGAGATTTTGTAAGTTGCCCGAGATTTATAAACATCAAGTTGTGCCCGTGGTGCATACAAACTTTTATTTTTCACGAGAAAATCTAAAAAAAAGACTAATTTAAATAATTAATTCGTAAAAAAAAAAATTTACGTGGCGTTGATTTTGTTGTCAAGGAGATTCTATGTTTATTGCAAACACGGCGTCTATTCACGGTGTCAACACGTATATTTTCGACCGCGGAAATGAATGAGGAAAATTGTGAAATTCCAGAAAACATTGTGAAGAAAGCGCAAAAAGCCAATGCAAATGTGTTATACTATCCTCAAACATATTTGGCGTTTATGACTTCACACCAATTTGACTCCCATTATAATTCAATAGGCCGTCACAACCGGATGTCTTAAACCCGCTCACCGATACCTACCTGAAAAGACCTTTTCGACGTGCCAGGGACGGTCGAGACGCGAAGGACCGGACTCAGAGTAATTTTGTTTGTTAAAATTTTCAAATTTCAAAATTTCCTTACAGAACATGATTTATACTTTGAAGAAAATTACACAAAGACACAATTATTAGAAGTGTTACACACTCGAAAATTTGAGAAACAATATAAAATAGATGCTATGGCGCGAGATCGTGGATTTAGGGTGATTAGACTTCCGCCGTACCATTGTATATTTAACCCCATCGAACTAATCTGGTCGCAAATGAAAAATAATATAAGAAGGAATAATACGGCACCAAAATTTAGTAGAGCAACAATTGACATAATTAGGGAAGAAGCTTCCAAAATAACTGCCGAAATGTGGGCCAATTGTGTACGACATTCCACAAAAGAAGAAGACCAGTACAGGGCACGGTTGATAACACCGTTAATTATTAATTTAGAAGAGTCGAGTGATGATGACAGTGACTATTTCGATCAATAAATAAGCAGTAGTAGTTAATAAGTAAATAGTTGTGCTGTAATAAAAAATGATTGAGTACAAAGTTACTTTGTTTTTACTTAAAATAAAAAACTCGAAAGGCGCAGTTGTCGGTAAATGCAAAACTCAGTCTTGCCCTGTGCTTTTACCAGACAAGGTCTTTTCAGGTAGGTATCGGTGAGCGGGTTTAAGACATCCGGTTGTGACGGCCTATTGAATTATAATGGGAGTCAAATTGGTGTGAAGTCATAAACGCCAAATATGTTTGAGGATAGTATACCTGGAACATCAGGATCCATATATGAAAAAGAATACAAAATTTTCCTTAATTGGAAGATTAAGAAGTGGCTTACTTCCAAGAATTGGTGAGTTATTCTGTTTATAAAATAATTATTTAACTGTGTTCTTCATTTTTAGTCAGAAAAATATTCACCCAGTTCCTTATGGTGAAAATACTCGATGGTCAAGACAACTTTAAGAGTAAACGACAACATAGACATTTCTAATTATCATCGTTTGACATATTTCTATAAAAAACCCAAAAGGTTATGTGGCAAAAAAATCCCGAGTTTTGACTGGCGAACAAGTCATGCAATTTCTAAAAGATGCTTCCGACAACAGATATTTACTTCAGAAGGTAAACTAAGTTATTTTTTGATGATTGTAATTAATTTAAATACGAATGTTTTATGCTGTAAAGGTAGTTGGAGGATGAGTGAACACAATTCAAGATTTTTACATAATACGTTACGGTGCTAGCAGAATGGAAGCAGTGGCAGAAATAATTCCAATAGAGGCACCTCCGAAAAGTTTAAGTTTACCTGAATAGTTTGGTATGAATAGCAAGTTTGTAAATTGTAATTTGTATCTTCGTTATTAAATAAATTGTCAAAAAATAAATAAGTGGTTAAAAATAAACAATATTTTTTTTTAATTTTTGTTTAATTCGGTTTAGCAAAATAGGGCATAATGAGAGGGCGTAATAACTCTTTATGCCCGCTCATTGTGCCCCGGATATAAGATGCCGCTTTACGTTTATCACATCATGGATATAAAACAAACATTATATACGAGTGAAAAATAAAAATTTTTATGTCTGTACCTATATAGTCTTTGCTATTTCTATTGAAACACCACTTGTTGATCGTAAATTTGGCAACGTTCATATTCACACAATTTTCTAACTAAAAGCCGTTGTCAATCAACCGAAAACTGTTAGCAATTGCTAAATTTTAGGCAAAATCAACAGGTGGTGTTTCAATAGAAATGGCAAAGACTATAGGTATTACAAAAACAAAACATAATTTTATAAAAGTAAAATTGGCAACAATGTACGTACCTAACGCGACCTTCGACTTCCTTTCTGATTTCTTATTAGTGATTGGTACTAGAATTCCATCTTCTTTATTTATTGTTAATAAAACAAATTGTTATTTTTCAGTAACTAATAAATTAAAAAAAAAACATTTAATAAAACAATCGTAAATTATAAATAAAAACAAAACCAACAGAAAGAAAAGTCCATGGAAGCAATGACCAACTAAATACTAGAGAAGATGAGAAAATTCCTCCCTTATGTATTTAAACAAGCTTGTATTCTTCTGCGAAAATTTTCATTTATTGTAGCCAACATATTCTCATTTTCGGAGTTCCACATTTCTATTCATTCCACAAGTATTGTAATCATCTCCGTCGGTCAACTCTCTAAATTTACGTTTTCTCTACTGTCATGACCCCTAGAGTACGTCCGTTTCCGTCTGTCTATCTGTTGGTCTGTCTGTCTGTCTGTCTGCCTGCCGTCTGTCCGGATTTTTATTAGAAAGATAATCTCCGAAACTACTAAACCGATTGTCGTCAAATTTTATATCTGTATTACGAATATTGTGTATATGGTAAAACACTAACCACAGTAAATTGGAAAGCTGGCGCAGCACTTATAACAGTTCATAGTACATAGTAAGAAACAAGGCTATATATAACTTAACCAAACTTTGTCTAATCATCTCCGCCAACAATGTGATGACGTCACCTCAAAATTGTACATAGTAAATGGGTTTTAAATTATTTTAAACAAAATAGTCCTACACGTGTAGTTTATGATGAGTTTGTGGTTAAATTTAATGTACTTTTTTCTGTAACACGTTGCATGGTAAGGTTAGTAATCTGATGTGGATAAGTCGAACTTAAATTTGGTCTGTGAACCAATTTTTGAAATGATAAAGTTAATTCAAATACAATAATACAGCTGATATACGAGTACATATAATGGTCAACGGGAATCAAATACGAAAAACTAAAACTGCTACTAACCGACGGCGCTGCATACGTGGTTAAATGTGACAAACATCTGGAAATATTTGATCTCAACTAATTAATTCATGTAATATGTTTGGCTCACGCCTTAGGTTTAGTAGCTGAAGTTATCCGGAATCAGTATGAAGATGGTAATGATTTAATTTCCAACGTAATGAAACTTATTTGTTCAAGCTCAATTTGATTAACCGAATTTTCCGTGGAGCCCTACCGGAGTGTCCATTGCCTCTAGAACCTGTTCTGACAAGATGGGTTCATGGATTAGAGCGGCAATATATTATTGCGATCATTTTGACGATATAAAACAGGTTCATTTGTTGCTATTCATAATTTTGTTGTGTAATTGTAAATCAAATGAAACATTTTAGGTTATTATGGAATTTGACTTTGACAGTGTCGAAATGCATCGCCAATGCTCAGTACGTACTATTTCTAACAAAAGCATCTCAAACATAATTTGGCTTATATCAAAAGCCATTTTACCATCTTAAAAACAGATTGGGCTGACCTTAAGGGTCCGTCGGAGCTAAATCAGGTCGGAGAGTTAGACAGCTGTCAATCACTAGGCAGGTAATCTGACTGGTCCGGAAGCGGTCGCTTGGGACCTTCATAAAATTTTATTTAGGAGAAACGTTTAAAGAGATAAAAGCCTCATAAGCATAACTACTCATAACAGTACTTACAACGCTGTTTCTGGGGCAGCATGCTTTGTAGGTGCTAGGACCAGGAAAATTTTTTTTTTTCACTAGCAGCCTGGACGCATGCAAATGTCGACTCATTTAGTGGTAGCAAATTCAACTTTTGCTACCACGGGTTCAAAAAGAAAAATTGAGGTTATGTACGCAATGTTTGATGTGATTATTTCTTAAAAAATGAACAAATGTGTGCTACAAACATTACTTGAGTATACGCATGGTAGTTGGTAGACGGTAGAAGATAAAATGATTAACTGAGCGACAAGTATAAACGGTTTTCTTTGTGTTGAAGATTTAGATCAAGTTTGATTAGAAATCAAAACAAAATCACGTTGCGTCAAAAAATTGAACGTTTATTTTTCAGTTTATTGTCTTATGGTTTCTGCTAGTGAAAAAAATAGTATATTAACCACGGTTGCAAAGCCACTTCTAGACCTCGCACTTAGAGCCCTCGACGCTGCGCGTCTCGGGTTCTAATTTGCGCTCGGTCTAGAATGCTTGGCTCTGCAACCTTGGCTAATAATATACTATTTCTACTCATTAAGGTTGAAGTTTGTCATTTTCCCATCGCTGGCAGTGGATGAAATTTCATTTCACCCTCTAGTGGAAAAATACTCGGCCGTCTACGATTTTAACGGGTCGTCCAGCCTGAGCGTTTCGCAGCTAGCGAAACGTGTCGCGTATCGCCTGCACCGACCGCACCGTCCGCTTCGCGCGC